GACCGGAGGGAACTCCATTGGTCTTTCAACCATCAGAGAAAGGCGACAACTTCTGGCACGTGAATCCAAACCGCGCTGCACCAGAAATTGTCTCAGCGGCCTAAGAAAAAGTTCAGTCGTTCCGAGTAAACAGAGATGGGAGCTTTTCTGTCAGCGTTTCTTCTGTTTCCTCAGCAAAGCACATCCTATCGGTAAGCGAAGCGGCTGGATTGGAAGTCAAGCCTTACATTCCAGCATCGTATACGAGAAATGTTGGCAAGATACGCCATGTTCCACTTCAATACACCGAGGAGCAACTGGTCGATTTCCTGAAAGATTTTGGTGTTAAATTTGCCCACCGATAGACACGCTTCAAACTACAAGAAGATGGTGCAATATAATCTCACCTTCTAAGAGATGTTATTCTGACCTTCAGAGAAGACAGGCCAATGCCGGAAAGGGTACATTTGGGCTTCACAAGTCGCCCTGTCGACGAATATCTGGGTCCTGCCCTTAGGTGCTACAACTGCCAGAGATTTGGTCATTTTACGAAGAACTGTCACAGTCTACGTCGCTGCAAGATATACTCAGAGAACCATGACCACTTGGAGTGTAAGTCCGTGCTGCAGCCAAAGTGCGCCAACTATGGAGGAAATCATACAGCTTTTTACTCTGGATGCCCTCGGAACAGAGGTGCCTCAAGATTACGCCGGCACGAGTGGATACACGGAAGGTCGCCTCCACGTAATGCACCCCCACCTAACACTGACACTGTTAGACATGTGACTCCAATTTCCCACAAAGAGCAGGACCAGGCGGATAAATTGAGTTATTCTGCAGCTCTAAAGAAACCGAGCCGACAACCTCCAGTCAGCGAACGACAAAATCGGTCCTTAGAGAATCCGGCTCATCTCTCGCAGACATCACGGCAGAGAACTCATCAAAAATCAACTCAGCGACTACATCAGCATCCACTGCTGACGCAGAAACCATAGCAGTGGTCATTTGATACTCCTCCTCGACGTCCAGCTCCAACCACGGATGGACCTTCAGCGCCGATTCGTGATTGCGCGTATGTACCTTTGGCTGATAAGATCCTACCGATGGTATTCACAGCTCTTCGTGCAATTTTCAGTGCTCTTCCACAGGCAAACAACCTACCGGAGGTAAACGCATTACTCTCAATGGAGCCGCTAGTGCTCTCACAAACTCAGTCAGCTTCGCGGCAGGCTCACTATAAATGGTTGCTATAACAATGTCTTCGTACATCAGTGGAATGCTAACAGCCTTCGTAATAAGTCAGCAGATTTTCGTAAACTCCTTGCTGAACATAGCTTCTCTGTACTATGCATACATGAAGCAGGTGTGCGAGATGATTTCCGACTGTCCAACTACGTGATATATAAGTCGTCGCGCTGAGCTGGAAAGAGCAGAGCGATACTTTGTGTTAGAAAAGACCTGCCATCCTATTTAATACAGTCAAGTGACTCAAATATACCCGAATTTGTGACCTGCAAAATATCTTTCAGAAATAGAAGTGTCAATGTGACAAGCCTTTATCTACAATCTTTTAGCAAAATATCTTTAGGCAGTCTAGTTAATGTGTTTAAGATCATGGACTCATGTGTGCTGGTTTGTGGAGACTTTCACGCTCATAATGTAAACTGGGGCAGTGGACATACTGACTCTCGTGAAAATGTTATCGAATGTCCAGCTGAGGAATGAAATATGACAGTGCTAAATGATACCTCTCCAACGTTTATAAGAGGATATTGTTACTCTAGTAGTACAGATGTCACGCTATGCTCATATGACCTTTTTGGGGGCTCTAAATGATCAACGTATTTTGAAACGCATGGCAGTGGTCACTTCCAAATTCTGGTAGGACATGAACTTATGAGGAGCACAAGGACTCAACGCTACTCAAAATATACTAACTGGCAACATTTCCGTCATCTCATAACGGGTGCATTAGGCGAAAAAACAAACTTAGAAACTTTTACAACTATACTGAGCGACTCTTACAACATCAGCACCAAGCAAGTTGTCACAAAACGAGCACTCAAAAAGGGCGCGCCGCCAAATTCTCGCGACAAAACGCCGGAGTGACGCCGCGAGGTCAACAATACAAAAAAAGAAAACAAGCATCCAAAGACTTCCCGGGCACGCGTCCTTCTCCCCTCGGAAGCGTGGGTTCGCCGATGAACCTCCGCTCATCGGTGCCTGAGCAAGCCCTGGAACGTTCTCGATGGAAAGGGGCGTGGTGATGCAGGGTTGCGTCATCCGTCGCGGACGGCCCTCGTACCGTCTCGCCCTTTCCCCAGCCTTCGCTGCGTATCGCGCCGACGAAATGATGAGAACTTTCTGGAATCTCGCGCGGAAGGTATTTAACCGAGCAGCAGAGAAGGTAGATCAGGAGAAGAAGGAAGTTAACGCCAGTGTGCGTAGGGTATTCCGCCGCATCTGTCGGTGAAGGTTTTGTCCGTAGTGACAAAGCAGGAGAAGAAGAAAGTATGCGCCAGAGTGCGTAGGGTGTTCTGCCTTGTGGGCGAAGCCGTTTGTCTTCCGTGACAAAGGAGGAGAAGAAGAGGATTTCCACCTGAGGGGTGAAGACTCGAGCTACAGGCAAAAGTGTGTGTCTACCGCTATCGAGCGAAGACGCGGGGCAACAGCTGCGTGTGGGAAGCCGACGTGTTTCCGGCGAAGAAGTTTGAAGCTTGGAGAGCGGCCAAGTAAAGACGCGAGGTTTCCTGGAAGAGAAACTTCGGGGGCAGCGGAAGGACAACAACGCTGGACTTTGAGTGAGTGATTCTCGGAAGAGTATCATCCAGACTTTTGTTCCAAGAACTTTGGACTGAATAAGTTTTCTAACTCTTTAGTCTTTAAGTGTCTTGGTTGTTCGATGCATGCGACTGCATTGTAGTGCGTGTTGTTGTCTGTGTCCGTTGTTTCGAGAGTGGCTGATTGTACTGTGTAGTACATTGTTTGATTGGTGACATATTCTATTCAACTATTGTTGAGTGTGCATACTTGTGTATTGTTCTGATCTGCCATAATTGAGAATATAATTTTGTTTTGTTTATCAACTCTCGGCTCTGACTTGTTCTTTGGGCCACAGCCGGCGTCCGCTGGCGCGCCAAATAGGACCACTTTTAAATTGTCCACGTTTTCGTGGTGCGGTTCGGGGGGCCGATACTTCGGCCCTTGGAATTAGCCCGGCGACCGCCTCCCGAACTAACGGGACCTGTGACACAAGTCATAGTGCCAAATGAGTATACCGCAGTTGCCGGAGAATACGAACACTTAAGAGCAATCAGAAGACGAGCATAATGAGCTTATACCATCGGAGCGGGACACTCGAGTACTACAAGACGGCACAAAAAAAAACTCACGCAAGATCACACTTCGCTTACAGAAATTAGGTAGCAGGCGATGGTAACAATACTGCTCGACGTTGAGTCTTTTCACTCGTGTGCCTAGAATATCGGCGATCGTCCGATCTTTTAGTGGTCCTGTTACCCAGAGCCACCCTTTTCGAGCACTTGCCATAGCCCTGAACACTCCACCAACAAATGTGGCTGACCAATTCTGTCGGTTAATAACCAGACCAGGAATCACAATTACATGCCCACAATTTGCAAGTTCCACAGCACTTTCCACTCAAAAGGTTCGAGCGTGTTTTATGTCGGAACGCCCTCAACTTGATGGCAAGTTTAGCCAAGATGAACCTAAATGTTCCCTTGAGTTCTGTCGTAAGAAAAACAGCTGTGGGACCAAATAGCGTCACGTACATGATGGAACCTTGGACCAGCAGGTAAAATGACACTGCTAGAGCTTTTTAATCATATCTAATTATCAGAGACTTCCCAATTCATGGAAATTAGGACGAGTAATACCAGTCATAAAACCAGGAAAGACCCTTTTATGCTTTGAATCATTCCGCTCAGACAGTCTCACAAGCTGTATTTGCAAGTTGATGGAGAGAATGGATTACAGTTTACTTCAATGGCGTTGTGAACATACAAAAGTTTTGTCAGATTATATGACAGGTTTTCTTCAAAGGTGTTGCACAATGGATGCGATATTAGATGTTGTCACATGTGTTGAGCATGAACGCATGTGTAGAAACATCACAATAGCGGTATTTCTAGACATTCAGAAAGCATTCGACTCAGTTAGTCACATTCACGTGCTGGCGGAGATGTTAGAACTTGGACTATGTGGTCGATCACTGCGATGGATTTCAATTTTTTTTTTGAGCGATAGGAAAACACACATGGAAACAACTCAAGGAGAAAGCAGTTATCATTCCGTCACAT